CCCGCCCTCGCCGCCGCGGCCACGGCCAGACCCCGCTGCGCCCCTATGTCACCTGTAAGTACGACCCACCCCCTGTCACCTCAATCTCGACCCTCGCGTTCACGGGCGACCCTCGTGTACGCGTCCCCGGCGGCCCTATTTGGGTGCACGTATAGCATCCTCCCCGGCCGGACGCGACGAGCTAGGCCACCCTGCTCGTTGGAGTACGTATACTCGCTTACGGCCCCCATCTTTACCCCCCCATCCCCTCTCCGCCCTCCCTCCTGTGTGGTGCCGTCACGCGGTGAGCGAATAAACCGCCCCCCGCGCGCTCTGGGAGCCCTTCTAGCTCGCCTCTTTCCCTCTCTCCCTCTCAGTCGTGCACGCCAGCTTTTTGGACGGCTGCCATAAAGCGCAACCCATGCCGCTGATCCGGATTCAAGTCGGAGTAACGCTCCTGGCGGCCCCAGCGCGTGGTGCGGTGCGCTCTATGTGCCCCCGGCGTGATGGTCATAGTCATGGCCGCCAACGTGCTAACTAGCAGCACACAGGGTCGGGTTACCCCGCGCCGCTCCGTATGTGGCGGGTTTGCTCCGGCCGCAGGCGGCCGCCGCCGCGCCGCCACGACCCCCGAGTTCAACTTCAACAAGGGCGTTCGTACGACTATCGATAGAGCAGCAGAGCGGGGCACCGCCAAAGTCGAACCGTTCCATCCACTGCTGCCGATCCGCCGAACGGCGAAATCCGGAGAATTCGTGCGTCTGGAGTCGTAGAGTTGGGTTAATTAGTAGTACTAGTAGAGCAAAACACGAGTCAACAGGCTGTCTGCGGCAGTGGCCTGTGGGGACGCTTGATGTCGGCGGCCCGTGAAGAGAGCAGGCAGACAGAGGAGCCATTGCCGGCCGGGGTCGCGGAGCCTTGCTGCGACAGCTGTCCCAGCTCCGCCATCTGCGCCAGCTTTCTGATGGAGATACAGCAGCGGGGCAAGGGCAGCTGCGACGAAGAGGGCCCCCCGCTAGGGGCCTTGCGGTGGCCACTGCAGGGGTGCGGGTCGTGTGTGCGTGTGTGTGGCGCTGCCAAAACTCCGCCGTTTCGGCATGAATCTGTTTATTTTCCGCCAAATTTGGGCGCGAGAGGCGGAGAAGATGAGGACAGTGGACACGATAACCTTGGTCAGGTGTATCCTCGCGTCTGTGCTCGCTGCTCGCCCTCATCCACACCTCCTCGTTCAAGGCTTACCGTCGAAAGTAATTAAGCCTCGAATTTAGCCCCCCGGGGGGGAGTAACGGACAATGGAGAACTTGGGGTGGACAAGCAGGAGTTCTCCCCCGGCGCACGCAACCATCGGCTTAGCGGAGTTTAGACCGTCCGTGTCCGGATCTTAGCGGTGTGTGTCCCGGCCCACTACACTACTCCCGCGCGCCTCGCGGCTGGTGATCGATGTCCTTGCCACAAACTCATGTGCCGTCGCCTTTGCCCGGCGCGGAACAGGGGTATCCGATTGTCCTGCAGTGGGGGGGGGGGGGGCAGATAATGAAAGAGGCGGCACCCTTTGTGTCTCGATAGAAGCGCCCCCCCCGTGTTTTGGCCGAGTTTGAGTTTGAGTGGTCAGTTTTGCCCAACAGTTGTGCCCCCCTCGCCTCCCTTTCTCTCCACGCTTGAGGAGCAGAGATAATACAAAGGGGTGGGGCGATGGCTGCGCGTAGGACGTCCTTCCCTCTATATTTTGACCCCAACTTTTTTCCTTTCTTCCCCCCTCTTTGTCCACCTACCACCTACCCCTTTCTTTTTTCCCTTGGCTGGGACCAATCTTCGGCAAATGCTGGTTGCTGGCGAAATAGCCTATCCGAGCGCTGGCCTCGTCCGTTTTGTTGAGCAGAATGGAATGAAGGCTATACATTTTTTTCTCGGGCAGTCTAGTTGCCCGCCCGCAGCTGAGATCCGAGCCCGTAAAGTCTTCCGGTCTATGAGACCCCGTTTGTGTCTGGTTGTGTCGCAGCGCCGGTGGGGAGGATGGTCAAGTTTTGGAACACGCCGCTGCTGACGGTGGGCGCGCTCACGCATGACTTCTCCCAGAAGAAGACGAGCTGCGACGACGAGTACCACATGCTGACCCGAGTCGGGTCGCTCGGCTTCCGGGACGTGGCGCTCTTCCTCGTCTCTGTCATGGACCAGTGAGTAAACAGTGGTTCGAACATCCTTAACGGTACATGCAGAGCATCTCACTTAATAGCTGGGCCAGAAGCGGAAGTAACAAGTAATATGGCACATAAAAACAGAACCAGCAGTTGAATGCGACCCATTGCGGCATGAGAAATGTAGGCTGATCTCCCTTCTTCGTTTGTTAATCTTTATAAATTAATTCATTTCTCACACCGCGACGGATCGCACCGTTTTACTTTTTGCTTCCACTCGAGTTTTTACTTCCGGCCCAGTGAAAAACCCTGTTTGTAACTGTTGCTCAGTTACTCGTGGCGACGCGTCATGCTGGTGTACGACAAGGACGGCTACCGGCGCGTCTCCGGGGAGCACACGTGCAAGCTCATGATGGAGGCCCTGGTCAAGCGGCTCAAGCAGCACAACCTGCAGTTCCGCGCCTTCGACACGGAGAAGGCGGCCAACCAGGGCGTCAAGGAGCACCTCCGCCGGGAGGTGGGCAACGACTTTAGCGGTGAGCAGAGGGAAATAAATCGCCCCCGGGGAGTCGGACCAGTCTGTGACGCACGACCCCGCACCCGGGCGTATAAATTGCGGGGCGGGTTTCGAGCTTCTCTTTCCGTTTTAGAGCTGCCGACTGACCGGGCTCGCGACGTTAAGTCTTAGGCACTTTTCTTTCAGAAGTGGACTCGCCGTGCACGGATTTTTATTTGTAACACTGTCAACATTGTGCTTTGCGTCACACCCTCCAGGGTCCCCCAATGTTTGGCCATAAAGATCTAGCGTATCGCCGGTGTTTGTTTTCGTCGATTTGTGTGTGAGTGTGCGATGTAGCTTTGCGACTGTGTATTATGTGCGTCTCGCGGCGGATTTCCTCCTCCGTCGCTGCTGTACGTCGCGCGCTCGTGCACGGCAAAGCCTTTGTTTTTGTTTTCCCAGCGAGGAAAGGGCGACATGAGATGTTCCAGGATTTACCCGGCCAGTTGGGGCTCCAGTTCTTCCTCGTCGGGCGGAGCGCTGGGGATGGTCAGCTCCACGCCGCCGTTGCGAGCCAGGACACGCCCACGAGCTGCCGCCACGCCCCGCCATGTCTGTTATGCCCTCGGTAAGTACAACACTCATCCCCTTTATCTGAGCATGGCAGATCCTCAGGCACACATATTGCAGCCCTCTACAACCCCCACCCCTTCCCTTCGTGCCGCGGTAGAGAACATATTGCGGGTAATCCTTCACGCGTCCGCAGCGGAGCGTTAGGACAGGGCACTACATTATTGCCCTTGGCGTCGTGGAAAAACATGAACATGTAGATTAAGTAGGACGTGGGACGGAAGTGAAGTGAGAAGGATGATACCGAATCTCCGAGCTTTTTTATTTTGTCCCCCCACTCTCGCAGCGAGCAGTCTCTTCCGGAGGCCCTCTCGCTGTCTCGAGCAGCAGTATCCGCTTTCCCGCGCTTTTTGCCCTCTCTCTCCGACGATACTCCGCGCTCGGGTGAGAGGTCCGGTCTCGCCGCTACCCAGCGCGACGGGGCTCTCGGCACGCGCGGGGTACTGCCGGCGCGGTGCTGGCTGAGCGTGAGCGGCGCGCCCAACAGAGGGCACGCCTCGCCCCGCCTGTCGAGAGGAAGGTGAGAGGAGAGCAGTCCGGCCGCGCCAGACCAACGCCTCGGGCGTCCCTGTTGCGCGAGCGAAGGGCTTCGCATACACTACTTCCCTTTTTCAACCTAAAATTTTATTGTGTCTTGAACTCTGAAAGGCTGCGGAGGCGGCTGCTGCTGCTGCTGTGCCGCTCCGTCCGCCACCCGCCGACTTCCTCCGCTCCCCGCTCCCGCTTCCTCTTACCCCACCCCCTCACTTTTATTCCGCTCTTTATGTGTCCTCAGTGGCCGTGATGGTCTTTATCCCGTGCTTGCGCCCCGTTTAGTGGCCGCTAAAGCGCGCCGCCGGGCCGCGCCTGCCGCGCCCACCACGGCCGTCAGCGGCCCATCCGGGTCCAGGGAGAGAGACCGCCCGGAGAGGGCCGCTGTGCACCTCCTCGGGGCGCCCGGGCAGCGCCCAAGCAGCGCCCAGGCAGCGCCCCCAACCCGAGGGGCCCACAACTCTGGAATTCAGGTGTACAAAGCCATCGAAATCTTTGGAAATCTTATTGAAATCAGTGAAATCTTTGAAATCAGTTGAATTCTCTTGAATTCACTTGAAATCTGTTGGAATCACTTTGAATTCACACGAAATCACCTTGAATTCACACGAAATCACTTTGAATTCACACGAAATCACCTTGAATTCACACGAAATCACTTTGAATTCACACGAAATCACATTGAATTCACATGAAATCACATTTTAAAAGCGTCTCGGGAAATTCACTCAAATCCAAATCTGTGAAAATCATGCAGTGTGGGGAGAGGAGGGGAGCAGTGTGCACCAACCTGTTCAGCTAGCGGGCCGTGGCATTGTGCTGTGACCAGTGCTGTGCAGGTAGCAATGGTCGGCTTTAGGCCGGGCGGCCGTGCTAGGGTCGAGCTTCGAGCCTCACGAGGGGCGGTGCCGGGTCTTTCCTGGCTCCTTAATCCCTTTTGAGTAACCGGCGGCGCGCGCGCTGCCCTAGACAGTGGTTGACATGGAGATGCGCAGTCGGTTCAACATTACACCTTAGGGT